CCACCTGTCCCCTCCTCCTTTGATGGCAAAACCAGGTTACTGAGACAGTACATACAGCTCCCTCTAGCAGACCTAGGGCCGTGTACATAGTGCCCGTCCACCTTTCTGATGACGTCTGCCTCCGCGCACAAGGATGAGATGGGCATTGCTGCCTACACCGACGGCCTGGAGGTCCGCGCATCTGCACCTTTGTACCTGACGCATAAGTGCCGACCCAACTCCACCACTACGCACGCCTCGCGGCGGGTGCGCCGCAGCAAGAAGGTATCGGTCCCTTGAGGGTGAGTCTAGCCCTGCTCGCTAGAAAGACCCCCCCCTCGCTATGGGTCATGCCTACGCAAAATCTTGCCGAGGCAGCGAGGGGAAGAAAGGGCAGTGGATGCCGTGGGACCTCGCGATCGATAATATTTCCTTGACTTCGACCTCTCGTGAGTACGTGGGAGAGACAAGGAACTGCGGGCTTGCCACAGGAGATGGGGAAAGACAGAGAGAGTGGTGGTACACGCAGCATGAACGTCGTCCTAAGATGGCTGGTGGTTAGGTAGCACGCGCCTTGCGCGAGGACCGCGGAGTTCTCTACTTCATCGCTCACATTCTGCCGATGCCAGTCGACCGTTCAGGTTCGAGTGCCGAGATTAACCACGAGAGACTTGGTGGGTTGTGGAGCGAGATCTACTTGCAGGAGCAAGATCTACTTCAAACGAGAGTTCCGCCGCGCTGCAGGAGAGAGATCCACTGATCCACGTCAAACGAGAGTTCCGCCGCGTTAGCCGCGTTAGGTCCGCCTCCGCCAGCCGTCGGAAGCGTCGGAACTCGAGTGCGGGGTGTTGGTGACGTGTGTTCGTGAGCGTGGTCTGCTGGTGGTCTGTTGGTCGAATAGCCCAGCCATTTTCGGGTAGGCGAGAGTAAGATCGGGTACCCTCCGGGGGGTGAGTAGCCAAGATCGGGTGCACCCGGTGGAAATAGGGTCAGGGCCGNCCGGATTGGGGCCGGGTGTGCCCGATTTGGCCACTCCTCTTTCCGAATTGTGGGAGAGACTTTGTTTTTTGGGAAAACGACACAACAGGGTATACCCTG